ATATATATATGTGTGTGTGTGTGTGTGTGTGTGTGTGTGTGTGTGTGCATATATATATATATATATATATATATTCATGTGTACTTTGTCCTTGTGAATTTGTACTTTGTTCTTTATCGTATTATATCATGTTAACATATGTGGGAACATTTTCCCAGCTCTCTGAGCCGCTCAGAGTCAACTCTGTATGTATAAACCTGTCACAAAGCCTGGCCTTGAGTGGATGCTGAATGCATGTTTCCAGAGTAAATAAGTCAGCGCAGGCACTGCCCACTCCACCCTACCTCACTGAGGGAGACTGGGCACATATGAAGCCCAGCCAAGATGGGAACACTGTGCTGCTGGCTTTGTTCTGGATTGCCAAAATGGACGGGAGGCAGACACGTACGTTGGGTTTAAAAACTGTCCAGAGTCCTAAGCCTCTCTTCTTCTCAGTATAGCTCCTTTCTGTTCCTTTCCAGAGCTCAATTTTGCTGTTGCTCTTATATCTTATAACTTTATGTGCACAAGGTTCTGACACTTCCCCTCTTCTATTTCCCATTGAATACTCTACTGAATTGGGAATTTTTGTGGTCCTGTTTGCTGGGAGCTTAAAAACAAACTTGAATTGTCTTCTGGGAGATGAGCATAGAGGTACATGTGTGTGCCTGTGTGTGCATGTGTGCGTGTGTGTGGGTGTGTGCAACTTTCTCCAAAGCAAATAGATTTACACTTTATCTTGCAAAAGGATATATGGCAGGAACTCTCTCTCTCCCTCTTTCTGTCTCTCCCCCCACATGAAGGAATGTGTGGGAGTGTAGAAAGATTTCAGAAGTAAGTAGAAAATGAGTAAAAAGGAGCATACATTTTATTATCTCTGAAATTTTCTTTGACGTTCTTTTCCAGGTTGACTTTGGGTTTGCTAAGAAAATAGGTTCTGGACAGAAAACATGGACATTTTGTGGGACTCCAGAGTATGTCGCTCCTGAGGTCATTCTCAACAAAGGACACGACTTCAGTGTGGACTTCTGGTCACTGGGAATTCTGGTGTATGAGCTCCTAACGGGCAAGTAAGTGTGCACCTCCACTTCGGTTCAGCTTCCTCTGTAGAGAAATGCAAAAGTAACTCACTAATGATAAAAATATTCAGGAGTTTAACATTTTAGAATTATTTTTTATTAAGTTGGTTGGCTTTTCTACTTTACATTTTCAAATCAAGTGGCCTTGCAAGTTTATCACATGGAGAAAAGATTCAAGAATTAGAAAGGATTATAGGATTACTATTTTATCTAAAATGGCAAGATCCATTATTATCAAATGAATGTTTGGGATATTATTCTCTCTCTCTCTCTCTCTCTCTCTCTCTCTCTCTCT